CAAAATATCTATCGATGAAGCGATTGTATACATGTCGTAAGCACACCAAAGAAGGTATATCATAAGTCACGACAAAAATCGTATAAAATCAATATTCCCAGAGGAAAAGATGGCTCACTTTCCCACTCTTGCTTTATGTCGTCCGACACCAACATGACAGCGATTCGCCCTTTACTATTGACGGGCTTTTGTCGCCAACGAAAGGCTTTCCAACCTATCATAAAGAGGGCGATGAATGATCAAAATGATCGAGGAAATCAAAACATGTTAACAGTAATATACCTCGACGATTTGAAATGAGTCAAGAAGAAGAGCCATACGAGCCCATCCGCCCCAAATGGTTTCATTGCGAGACTCGTGTCGCCATGGTTTCATACGGAATAGCACATCCTCGAGGTCCTGCCGAATCTCATCTGAAGAAAGCTGTGTTTCAGGATACGGTTCGGTTGCTAGCAAACACTGAGAATTTTGCTGATGAGGCACATTTTTCCCTAGACGCATTTGTTGAGATATTGTTAAAAACGAAATCATGCAAGTATTCACAACTGCCGAAGATGAACGCTATAGCAACAGAGGGCAATTTTGGAGCTGCCAGAAGATGCCTCAAGCGTGGACAGCCACCATACCGAAAGGTTTCGCCCAAAAACCTGTAGAATCAGATCGTCTTGCATCAAAAGACGCCACAATGCTTCGTACTTCCAAGTACACAACAAAAACAGCTTTTGCTGAATTTTGTTACTTTAATGCAGTGGCAATGTTTTGCAAGACACTATTCTTTGTGCAAGGTTTTAGAGCACCAGTGAATAAGCCTTCGAAAATCACCGTGACTTCCATCTAAACAAGATTAGCCATGATCCACTATACGTTTGGAAAAGATCGTCGCATAATGTAGAATGGATTTCAAAAACTGATGAAAAGCATGCACAACCATGACATAAAGTAAATTGCGCAAACAGAAAAAATTATAAAATAAGACCCACACGTTGACTCCAACTGGAAGAGATTGAAATTCCTCAGCAAATAATCGTGTAAAGTCAGGAACTGTAAATTCAACTTGTTCAGCGCAAGAACGCCTAAAATTCTCCATTAAAATGAGAAAATGAAAATAAAAATGACAACACTATGAAAAATATAATTCAAAGATGAGCATAACCTTCGCCGGAATAATTTTCGTATGGAACAACGTTTTCATCCCAAATCACTTGCTCGGTCGGATATAGCGGTTGCTCGTTGAGCTGCTGCAACTGGTTAACCCGCCGCTCACAATGGAGAGTCTGCAATGTTGACACCGCAATGATTCAAGAGTATCTAGACCTCTACTCCAAAACCTACAAACATGACCAAAAAGTGCCTAATGAAATCCTTACAATAGTTTCCGTAAGAAACTCCTTGCTACACTTGTCCAATATTGATTCTTCACTGTCGATTGGGGGAACCAGATGGAGATACTCAGCAAATCGGTATATGTCGGACTTTCTACAAAAGAAAATGCTCCTCATTTCCAAAAAAGAATTCTGTTTGAGAATCCGTTAACAATAGCTTTTATATGTGAAATATTATGCCTAGAGGTTACTTCATTGATCCGAACTGCTTCATGAGTGCTTTCCTTGTGTCTACACTTCCAACATTGAGCAAGTAGAAATCGGGCATGCTTTCTCTGTAAACGTATTAATTCCTAACATTTGTATATGATTACATCTTACGCATGATTAGCATGAGACAAAAAAACCCCACCTAAAAAACTTGAAGGCGGCCTTCTGCAATTTGACGACGTGCTCATAATGTCTATCGGAAACCTAGGAGAAGAAAACTGCATTTATATTTAGAGTCACATATAAATTCCAGATTTCCTATAATGAAGTAGAGCATTTGATTGGCTCCAAGAGGACAACCACGTGAAAGTGAATAAGAGGATACATGGGTAACCGAATTCGGGCGATGGCGCCTCTTATGAAAGCAATATGGTTACCTCCTTATGTGTAAGTTGCTGCCCAGTGATATCATTAATCTCGAAGCGAGCGTAAAATTTGAGCATTTCGACAAGCTGACAGAATAGCGACCCCGCTTCCGAAGAGATCAATTTTGAGAGCACACAATGTGTAATTAACTTCGAAGAATGAAGCACAGCATTGAAGAACCGTCTGTAAGCAGTGAAACCCATAACATTATTTCAGCAAAAACCGATAAATAAAAATGCAGGTGTACCTTGTTGGAAGCAATGCCTCTAAATCGGTAACGAGCTCAATGAAGCGTTCACAGTATCTTATTTCTTCTAAGTCAACTTCTATAACATATAAGAGTGAAATATACATATAATACAGAGCAATGAGTACTTCGTGAACACAGCAAACCTTTGCTTTCATCATCAACGCGATCGAGAGTGCGCTTAAAACGGGCTATGAGATTCCATAGATAGTTCCTCTCAAATCGGGCTTTACGAGACTCTTCCGTGTCTTCGGCATCTTGAGCTGCGATTTTGTTCGACAAATTTGTCCAGTACTTTCGTAGCTTCTGAATAGATGGAAGATGATTTTTATTCGACCAATCTGCAATATCCGCGATAAAACTGTTGTTTTCATAAATGGACAGAAAAGATTTAGATGGGCGCTCACACAGTAAGTCACTCTAACGACTAGGGGGAGACGATTCTGAAAACTTAACAAAAGGATGGGATGCGCCTACAGTAACTGATCCTACCATTATATGTCACGTATGCTGCCCACTATTCACCATCACAAGGGCCATAAAATGCAGCAAATGAGGCAAATTGATTCGGAGTAGCTCTAATTCACTACTGTAAAGCCACGTATGCTGCGAAAGTATCCTGCAAAGCTTCATTTCATCGTCGGAAGCGGACTACTCACCTTACTACCCGCAAATATATCCTCCCTTTGACTTGGAAGTAAATTTGTCCATATCGATATATGAGTGAGTTTGTTCATCTGCTCGCGAACAATATCGACTTCCTAAAAATTTTTACTTCAACTAAATTCTAAGAAAAAAGCAGAATCGATGAATTCCCTAGAACTTACCACAGAATTGAAACTATTCACGAGAAAAGTTATGATTGCACATTGTTCAGCGTTGCTTCGCGAGTTTTCGTCTAATGACAACTCCAAAACTCGGTGTATGAATCCAGGAAAATGTTCTGGCTTCTTCACAAAACACTGAAAGATGAAAATCGCTAGGGTTTCCCCAAACATATTAAACAGCTAAACACATAAATAAAATCAATACCTGCCACGCGTCAATTCTCTCTCTGAATTTTTCGTTCAACATGACAACGATAGACATCACATGAGGTATACTAGCCTGCTCAGTATAATTTGGCCACAGATAACACTCAAGATACTGACTGAAAAAAAAATTACAGCACTACACCGCTACAGCAAAATGAATCACGCCTCCACAATTGCAACGGCAACGAAGTAATAAGCTAGGAAATGGGATGACACTCATAATTTACCAGCAATTCGCCCTCTCTGAAATTGGTGACTGACCAGTACTGACAGCGTGTTAGTTGCTTTGGATCCTATGATGAAAAAGCCAAAAGCTTCCACTTTGTCCTCAAGTGCGGAGAGGAGCCTCGGAATTCCACGTTTGAGGGGAACGTAGCGTAGTGATGGCAAATACTTCTAGTTAGGAGCAGAATGAAATCGCGTTAAGGAGTGGGCGCGGTATCACGACCCCCCCCCATATAATTGAGGCCGTACAACCCATAGATCCCCAACCCATTTGATTAGTATGTTACCTATTAGTCGAAGTCAACTACGTCATGAAACATAGTTGAACCGGACACACTCCAGCTTCACGCTATATTTTTCTGCCGCTATTTCATTTCCATACTATGCCTTTCGGGTCCCATTCTATAACTCCCTCCTATTCACCAGACAAAATGGGAATTTACGTCCCAACACCCCTCCCAATAAAAGCGCTGGGTTATGTGCTAAAATTTTGAAGATTTCATTCTCTTTCATTAGTGATTACGTCTGATATCCAAAGTTAAAGAGATCGTGAAGCAGAACTCATAACTCGGAACTGAAGTCAGTGTACCTGAACTCTAGCATTATGATCTTCCTTGGATTGAAGTGCGTGTCTATCATTTCATGTTGATAAATCGTATCTACAAGTGGAGCGGAATATGGTGCATGCGTTTTTGAAAACGGCGCCCAAAATTTAGAGGCAACCTTAAATGTGATAGAATTGAGAGCATAGCAACAATCACTAGGCTACATAGGAATGGGTCATGAAATGAAGCATTACACTTACCTCAGTGATGGTCTCTTTCCGGAGCGCATCTCTGTGACGATTGAGGATGCCGTTTTTTGATGCCGTCTTCGCCACCATTTGTACTATAATTCATGGAAAAAATAAAACAGCACAGGGCCTGAACGAACACGTGACAAATACAAATCAGAGGTGCACAACCGGGCAAAGCAAAGATCAATCCGAAACCTAATACCCTCAATGAATGAAAATAAACGAAAAAGAAGACCCACCACAAGTGTACCATAATCAATTTCGAAAATGTTTCGTGTTTCGTGAAGTTCCACATATGTGTAATTGCATGCCATAAGGACCCACCGTAACCCACGCCTACTTTTGCTGCAGTGCCGCCCGTCGAGTTTGGCCGATCGCGAAAATTTTACGACACCTTCCGCGACCAAAGGAGTCCCGCATGACTTTTCATCCATACACACAAATAAAGGGGATTCGTGATGCATCTGTGCTTCCAAAATGACACGAGGTTGCTGTTTCTGCGTGTATCGCACATATACATTTCCAAGTTTAAAAATTCAGGTAAGTTTGGAATCTGCAAGACTTGCCTTTTCAGCAACCTATCAAGGCGAAACCGAAAGTTAGAAAGCTCTTCTGTCATGGTGTAAAAGAGGACTCACCACTAGGCTGGCAAACCCAATGCGAGGTTCTTCCATAAGAAGGAAGCCACAATTTCTTTCAATGCATTTTTCTAACCTTCAGTAGTCGCTTACTTTTTCAATTTGCTTCCTGTGGTAAACCCTTTAGCGTGGCGAAGAAATACAGGGCTCGAGACTCCTAATGAGTACACGAACCAGTCTTAAAGCAAAGCTCAAGCTAGAGCTAGATACTATGATTACGCTCGATCTCCGTTGCTTACCGGAAGCTAGCAATACGGGGCAAGAAATATTAGGTTGTCGGAAAAGTCTTTGGCCATTTCGATCTGCATGTTGTAAAATCTTCAAACGATAATTTTTGAACATTTATTGCAAAACGTATGTAAACCCTCGTCAGTCATCTCGTTATAGCTTTTCTGTCGTGGTTTCTTATAGCGTTTATAGCCAAGAAGTTTATAGCCAACATTTGGTTACCTAAGTATAGAAACTCGAGAAAAATGCACAAATTCTTTTGGGCCTGTTCTCCGAATTACGAGTGTCTTCTGAGGATGTTTTGAAATAGTCTCCGCGGAGCAATGCTCGGGAACTGACGCAGCTTTTTCGAAGTTTTCAGAATACAATAGCTGTTCCTCAATATCTTCTAAAAAGGCGAGAAATATGGAAAAAGGTTTCGTGACATTGGTGACGACCGCCGTCAGAGGCCTTCAGATTTTGCATGGACATTTTGATTTATCGTTTCGTCTCTTGTTTGACCAGACTACTTTGCTGGTGGCAATCAGAAGTGGGTTCCTCACATAGACTGCAGTCGGAAGCGCAAGTGGCCCAAACCGTGAACCGATGGGCGGCCGATTCAGCACTGCAATCGGGGAGGTAATTTTAAATACAATTGGTGGAGGCTTCAAGGCGATTCCTTTGGTGACAGTCCTACAAGAATTGCACTGCTATTCTGAAACTATATTATGGACGCAAAGGAATAGGGTACTCCGGCACTTATGCTTCAAAACATGGAAAGTTTATGTCGTCGCAAAATCCGCGTCATATCTGGAAAGTAGGTCCAGCAAAAGGTCTCAGCAATCCGTCTATGGGACGTTCGTCTCACCTGTTTGCATTCAGTGGGCCCGGCGCTAACAGATCACCATCTGCTTCCATTGTTGCGTGTCAAATCAATCAAAAGAGGGAAAGCTCAATGATCCGAACCTACTCGAAGAGGACCTTTCCAGAGTTTTTGCTTCAAAAGCTCAGTATTTCCAGACAAACGCTATCCACGAGTTACCTGCTAAAAGGCAATATGTTGGCGATTGAGATGAGGCATATGATATTTATAAATTGCCCAAACTTTTCCGACAACCTAATACTTTTCTTTCTTTTGGCTATATAAACTCTTTCACAAAAACAATTGTCCATTAAGTTGCTGGTTTTGCTCGGCTCATTCGAAGGTGGTTTCAGAGATCGTTTCATAGCAACTGTCAGTTTCTCCGACCTCTGCCAGTGTCATGTTTGGAAAGATATAGTGATGATGATTTCCTACACTATGAAAATTTGAGCTCGCTCTTTCTTTTTGGTTTTCGGTGCTGGTATTCGATGGTTTTGATGGTGTTCGGTAGTTTCTTTTCTTTCCATTGTTGTTGTAATTGTGAATTATATATCTACTTTTATTACTTCCACTAATGCGATTCTCGATTCTGTTTTCAGTACTGTTGCGGTTGATTAGACGGATAACAGAGCCGCAGGAACGGCTGTTACCGTAATCCGCCGCCGCAACAAATCGATGCCACGTGGCATTCGGCATGCCTCTTTTGTCGTTTTTCTGCGCACTCCACGACGACAGTGTGGACGATACGGAGCCCGTCCATTGTACGGAGCACCTGAGCTGTAGAAGGGTGAATGTGGCAGCGTGTCGAACTGGCCGGAGCGTGCTTCGCCTCCATGTTGGAGTTGTTCAATCCAATTCGTTGAAAGGGCGCGGCCACGGGTTACGGTAACAGCCGTTTCGCGGCCTTTGTTATCTGTCTGGGCGCACGCATAGTCGGTCGGACGACAGCAACGATCGTAACTGTCGCACAGCATTGGATGCGTATCGATCGTCGGACTTGCCTGAGTATTCGACGATTAGATGCAGTTAGACAGTCAGACAGTTGCGATCGTTGCTGTCGGACGACCGACTATGCGTGCGCCCTCTTGTTTGTGGTTGTAGCTGTTATGCTATGTGACTATTCTTGCTGCGACAGAATTCACAAATCAACATTTCTGGAACAGTAAAGCTTTGAAAAGACGATTTAATGAAGTTTACACAAAGCAAAAAAAACAGCCCATTTCAAATTTTTCATGATAAAATGCAATCAACGTCCGTGATAAAGATCTTCGATAAAGCACATCATATTTGTAACAGAGCATGGAAAGCATTTCCATAAAATTGTAATCAGAAGCGCTAAGGTGAGACACGCATTCGGAAACAACCAGTATGACTGAATCGGGTCGTTAACTCAATAATCAAGCCAGTAAGGAATTCGAAGACAATTTAAAAACATCACTCGTTGAAGTTTGCTTGAGCGCACAATTTAGAGACTGAGGATCATTAGGAAGGAAAATTGACCAAACACGCCAGGTACAAGACGATGCTGAAGTGAGCACATCACCACTGCAGTAGTTAGAAAGTAAAAGTGTAGATGAGGAAGTTAATAACCGTTGTAGGATCGAACAAATTAATATGAAGAACGATAAACTTGCGTTTCACATCACATGATACCGTGTCAGAATCCTTCAGATCAGATCAACATCGACTTTATTTGATGCTTGAAACAGAGTAGAATATCATATCCTGCAGCGTATGACCTCGATGAAGTGGAAGACAATTCCTATTTGGGATCCTCACCTCTATTTCTCACAGATGGTCAATTTTTAGCATGAGAAAGTAGCAATTAAATCCATCGAGGGTTTTTGCC